GTGTGTGTGTGTGTGTGTGTGTGTGTGTGTGTGTGTGTGTGTGTGTGTGTGTGTGTGAACCTCCCTAGCACATGGGAGCAGAGGGTCACTCCTTCACGATTGCAGGGGGACACAGCATGTCGCTGGGACTGTGTCCAACGAAGCTACCAGTGACATGGGAGGAGAGGACTGATCATCCTCTTGTACCTGCAAGCTGGGCCCCCTGAGGCAGCAAGATTAGAAAACGCTGGCCCCCTGAGGCAGCAAGATGAGAAAAAAGCTGGCCCCCTGAGGCAGCAAGATTAGATAACAACATACAACATACTCTCCTCTTCTCACTCTCTTAGCCGAATCAGTCAGTGTGACTATCGTGGGTCCTGAGACTCCTGAGCAGCGGCTTTCCGTCATGGCGCCGTGGTGTCCCTCCGAAAGGGAAACCGATGGTGAACCGGATGTTCAGACTTTCGTTCAGACCGATCAGATCTCCCGATGCTCTTTATGATTACTTTCTCTCCCTCTGATGCTCGCATGTGCGTCTGACATGAGTGCAGGTGCAGTAATGGACGGCTAATGCTGTAAAGTGCGTCTAGTGAGCAGGTGCTACCTCGCTAGTCTGTCCTCTATTCGACCGCTTCTTTATTCCTCAGGGACTGCAAGGGCATGTGCAACTGACATGAGGGCAGACGCGGTAACAGTGTCTACTGCAAGTGAAACAGCGCTCTCTTCGGAGAGTAATCGGCCTCTCGCTTCTCTCTCCCCCTAACCCCACACCTTAAGTTGAGGACCACGCAGGACGTGGTACCTCTCATTCCATTGCTCCTGGGTGCTTTTCTGCACAGCTGGAGGATGGTCCACCGCTCTTGGGTGTCTTTTGCTACACAGCTGGAGGGTGGAATACCCTAATACCCTAATCCTGCTACTGGCCTTGGACCCTGCTCGGGTAGCTGGGCAGTAGTCACTCCGTTCCTGGGTCTTTGGTGACAGCTGGAAGGAGTGTCCTCACCCTAATCTCACCCCCTAATTACAACATACAAACACATGTGCAATACATTGGTCAGAAGCTGCTAGCCCTGGCCCCCTTCGAGGGTAGCTGGGTAGCAGTCTTTCCTTCAACCCTCCTTACTGTTGCCTTTGGGGGCCGTCGCGCCCAGCTGAGGAACAGTCCCCGGCTGGATCTGGGCCCTTGCAAGGGCAGCTGATCAGCCTTCCTTCCCCTCTGTCGCTTCTGGGGGCTTGCGTGCCCAGCTGAAGGACAGTCCTGAACCCCAACTTTAACGCCTCACTACATCTTGGACTACCACAACATTCCGGACCACATCGACAAGATTTGCAAGCGGGCATTGCAGCCCACAGGGTTTTGTGGTTTAGTTTTGGTTCGTTTAGGTCTTGGAGCCCTGGCGTGGCTTTATTTCACTGCACACAGCCGCCCCAAGGTGGGGCTGTGTGTGTGTGAACCTCCCTAGCACATGGGAGCAGAGGGTCACTCCTTCACGATTGCAGGGGGACACAGCATGTCGCTGGGACTGTGTCCAACGAAGCTACCAGTGACATGGGAGGAGAGGACTGATCATCCTCTTGTACCTGCAAGCTGGGCCCCCTGAGGCAGCAAGATTAGAAAACGCTGGCCCCCTGAGGCAGCAAGATAAGAAAAAGCTGGCCCCCTGAGGCAGCAAGATTAGATAACAACATACAACATACTCTCCTCTTCTTGCTCTCTTGGCCGAATCCAGCTGTGTGTGTGTGTGTGTGTGTGTGTGTGTGTGTGTGTGTGTGTGTGTGTGTGTGTGTGTGTGTGTGTGTGTGTGTGTGTGTGTGTGTGTGTGTGTGTGTGTGTGTACGACATTCCCTCCCTTGAGGCTGCATGCCAGTCGAGCTCATGCCAAGTGGCCATGTGGACTCGCGTCACCTTGCCAAGCGAAGTGGTTAAAGGATGAGGGCTTCTAAAGGCTATGGGGTCAACACATGTGGAACTTCATGCCATCGTCATCGCTACTATCAGCCATCAGCACCACCGGCAACACCGCAGCACCAGAAGCAGCTCTCGCACTCACCGAACACCATCAGAACAGCACCTCTCCACGAAGTATGCAAAGATGTGAGTGTGTTGCTCTGGTGAGCCTATTACTAACCATGTCTGTTCAGGGGTTAGGGCTCAGGGCTCTGTACGGCTTTTGCTTTCCAACACATACACAGGTAGACAGACGGATAGATAGACAGATAGGTAGACAAGTAAACAGATGGGGTTCGGGGGCCACGAAATGCTCTCCAACTCAATCCAAACTACTCTTAAGGCCCCTGCCAAGGGGTACGTCTCGATTTCAACACTTCCCAACAACTCAACCCAAACTACTCCTAAGGCCCCTGCCAAGGGGTACGTCTCCATTTCAACACTTCCCAAACCATTAAAATTGGGGCTCTGTGAAGGAAATCAAAAATTATCCCAAAGCGATACTTCGTTAACCCTAAACCCCTAAACCCTAAACCCTCCGAGAATATACTAGACCCTAAACCCCTAAAGATAATACTATAAGCGCCTAAATAATTGCTTATACTATTTTGGGGGGTTCCTTATTATAATTGTAGTACATTGGGCCCCAGAACCCTATTCTAATTATTAAGGCCCCGATGTTAGTGTGCAACACTCCGGGAGGCCCAAGAAGTGTCAGCGCATGGCAGTCTTATACTAGGATACCCAGCATCCTAAGATTGGTACTGGGTAACTTTATAAGGAACCTAGGACTACAAAAAGGGAATGAGCATCCTAGTATAGGAGCTTTCCAGGGTTTACCTTCAACTAACCAACCCGACTCTGGTTCATGGTTGGGATAGGGATTGAACATATACATTCTTATTCCTTATTGGGTCATAGTTCATGTTTGGGATAGGATTAAAAACTTAAATTCTTGTTCCTTGCAGTATTGGGTTTAAGTACCCATAAACATGTAAAGTGTTGCCCAGCTATGACAAAGGACTCTTTGTAGGGTCCCTATGAATTCTGTACTAGGATTCGTCATACGAACCCCTAAACCCTATAAGTTCTATGTGAGGGTTTTTAATAGGAGCCTATAAGAAAGTGGGTTGTGGTAGCTTTAAGGTAGGCTTCAAGGGTAGCGCGTCAAGCTTCGGTACTGTACTTGCGCATCAAGGGCCCTAAACCCCAAACCCAAAACCCTAATCATGAAGGGTCCGGGAGGGCGGCCCATCGTCTAGAAATGGCAATTTCAAGCGTTAGACGGTTTAGGGGTGTAGCGGCCTCGGGCTTGAGGAGTCTGGGGTTTAGGGTTTAGGGTTAGAACCACAGCGATTAGAAGAGGCCCCCACCCTGTAATAGTGGTATAACTGATATAATCCTTATTGTAGTCACTATTACAGGGTGGGGGCCCCTTCTAACACAGCGGCAATGATTCGTGGCATAACGACAGGTTCATGGCTACACCCGCATATCATTACCATATGTGCCTTAATTAAGGGATATTGGGATCTCTGAGTCTTGCCAGTCCAAGGCCGACGCCAGCGCCGGCAGCTTTTTCCTGCTGGAGTTGCTGCAGCATCTCCTGCGCCGGGTGAGAGTCTTCCGGAAGTCGCGGGTTCAAGGTATACACAGGTTTGATTTTTCGTAAAGCTCCTTTTTGATGTCCGCCAGGCAGTTGGCACACTTCAAGGTATAGGGTTTAGGGTTTAGGGATTAGGGCAGTTTTAGGGGCTTACAGTAGGGCTTTTAGGGTCTGGGTGCTTAGGTTTAAGGTGTGAGGTTTAGGGCTTAAGGATTTGGTAGCTCGGGGGGGGGTTGACGATCTTTCGGCTCCGCCCTAAGATCAAAGTCACCTTTTCGTAGCCCATCAAGCCCAGCACCCGAACTGCTACACTCTGACATCTGTGCTTTGACAACCAGCCCAAGCGTACGTCTAAGACGCAACACTCCCTGAACTGAACCTTCAAAGAGATTTGAGCAGAGTGGCTGCAGATGGCCTAAACCCTAAACCCCTAAAGATTTGAGCAGGGTGGCTGAAGTGGTGAAAACTGGACTCAAACCCCTCGGTTGGCAAGGATCCTCGGCCATTGACTACGCAGCCACTGCTGCAAGTGCTCGTTTTTTTGGAACATCATCATCTAGGCACTAAAGGGGGAGGGTTATTCGCACTCTCCCGAGACCCCTAATGATGACCCTGATGTTGTGTAAAGAGAGCATACTTCAAAACTTTCAGTGGGGTTCGTGGGAGTGACTTCCAAGCAATTCGTTCCCACTGAATCTAACTGAATCAGGTGACGAAGGGTCTAGTTTTGCACCGCAGCTCAAATGGCTTGGAATGCCTCGCACGATGGTAGAGACAACCCCTCCATGCCACAGGATCAAGGCCAGGCACTTATAAGACCGCGGTCTTGCTCATTTCAGATTGTGCAAATACCCTCACACCCCCCCCGCCCACTCCCGCTGCTGCATGGTGTTGAAGCCTCTACAGTCATTGTGCCCACAATCCTTAGATCCTAGAGCAAGCCCGAACACCCAAACACCGAAAAGAACAAGGCCTTCATCCTACATCCTGAACCTTGACGTGGGAGTTCCCGAAGATATGGGACCCTAATATAGTACCCTCAATATTGGGATCCTTATTATAGAGGACCCGATAATAAGGTACCCCTATTATATTTTCGGAAACTGCCATATCCTTGAAACCTAAACCCAAAAACCCCGGCCCTCGTCACCCTGCGACCTCAACCCCCCAAACACGAACAGGCTCCGTCAGACGATCGATCTGCATCCTCAGCTCAGCTTGCCGGTTCTTGGGTTGAGGCCGTAGAGAGATTTGAACTCCATTACGCTCAAAGGTTTTAATTATATAGGGCTTTAGGTGCTTAAGGTGCTTGGGGGTTTATGCATTTGCACAAATTCGATGATCAAGTTTCGACTTCTGTAAGTACTGAAGCAACACCACGCCGCTCTGCGCTTCATTGCCTGTAATTACCAGGTCGAACTGAATGATTAGATCATTACGGCGCTCACATTGCGAGAGTCGAGTCCGAAGTTTCGCGAAAAAGGGCAAGGCACTTCCCACCCTCCTCTACAAACACACACGCACGCACGCACAACACACAACCCAACACGACACAACGGTCCTGAGCTAAACTCAAGGTGTGGCCCAGCCCTCAGAATGAACCCATGCATCCGAAATCTAATCAAACCAAAGTATTGAAAGCTCCAATACCCGGTCCCCAAAAGTATGTAGATTAATAGCCATTTAAGGGTATTGGGCCATCATGTTGCCTACTTTGGGGAGTTTAGGTAACCCCAAACCATAAGCTCCAAAATCTTCAACCGTGAACTCAGACTCTACCACTCGGGAAGTCCGCAGGACAGGTGCCTTTCTTCACAAGGGTGGGTTGGAGCATATGGGAGTTTCCGAAGATAGGGGTACCTCATTTTGGGATCCTACTACGCAGGGTACTATTTAGGGTCCCCCATTTTCGGAAACTCCCATATTGTTCTACACAGCTACAGCAAGGGAAACTCACAAGGAATAATTAGAACTACTGTCTATACATGCTTCTACATTACGGCATCAGGCTGGGTTATTCTCATGGAGTATTCCAACCTTTTCCGACGCTTTGCAGCCAATCAACTGCTGGTCGGCACACTTCTGCTCGGTAGCACTGAGCTCCTACAGCAGGTTTAGAAGTACGGGGGTTTAGAGTTACGGGTTTAGGGCCTAATCGGGGGTTTAGGGTGCAGGTTTTAGGTTCCTGCCGAGGTAAGTACTGAGAGGCGAGATTGTGGCGGCAGCGAGGGTGACGCGTCATATTCGCATGATTAAAACACGTGGGGCTTTCCGAAAGAAGGGGACCCTAAAATGGTACCCTGAATAGTAGGCTCCATATTATATAAGGACCCCAACATAAGGCACCCCTAATTTTCGGAAACTCCCACGTACTTACTCGGCAAGAAGAGGACCAGCAATCCGACCCGCCCGGGCAGTCGCGTGCGGAAAACCAACGCCAGTAGTGACAACCTACCATTGCTAGTTGACATAGCCAACCGTACAATAATTAATCATAGTCATAACAACAATGAGAGTAAGTATCATCATCAGCATCATCATCATCAGCAACATCATAATACTCATACTCATAACCCCCTACATAATCATAGCAGTAATAATAGTCCTAGATCTCTGTGGGCCGGAGGTTGCCAACTTGGGAGCTCCGGTCACCCAACGACTTGACGATTCTATGCGGCGCTAACGCTGGGGCCTTCAAATTTTCAGTGCTGGTCGTACGCGCAGTTTAGGCTTTAGGGATGTATGGGGATGTTAGGGTTTAGGGTTTCTCTCTATCACAATACAGGATTTGTTGAACGTTTTGTAGGCTAAAGACTAAAGACACTTCGCGGGCACAGGTCCTTTCGCCACTTCTTCTCGACGTCCTGCTTCGGAAGCATGCAATGCACAATCAGCGGACATGCCCTCGGAAGTCAGGGAGTTGGAATGTGGTAAACTGAGTGTGGTCACCGGACAAGACAAAGACTATGAAACAGATTGACTGCGGGCTGCGAACGTCGAGGGCCCAAGTGTGTTGATGATGCCTTGCCCAGCGTGGAATGGTGTACAGGGATCACACATTTATGAATATAGCATGTGCATCCACACGCATCAGCTTGAACTTCTTCTTCTTGTTGAACAGTAGGGCCCCACTTACCTACATAATGGGTTACTGGGTTATATATTCTACGGTTAGAAACCCGCTATTTTCATAAAATAGTAGGTTACTAAACATGGAACAAAAAGTATATACACTGTTGCCCAGTAGTTTAAGCAACCGGAACCCTGCCGGGCAAGTGTTTCCATTCTTCTACCCACAAATTTAAAAGTTAAATGAAAATAATATGTTACTAACCATGGAATATTTAAAGTATCCAGAGCCCAGTAATTTTGAGTAACTGGAACCCTTTGGGGCAAGTCTTTCCGTTTCTTGCTACTCCTATACTGAACTTAGAACCCCAGCAAAATCATAAATTTTAGCTGTTTCTTAGGGATTACAATAACCAAGAATTAAAAGCTATTTCTAAGTACCCCTTAGGTGGCCGCCATGAGGACCAGCCCTGCCTCGATTGCTTTTGCCATGTCTGACCTGCGGGTGCGGGCGTGCTACGAATAAGTATACGAATACTACGAATAAGTATAGTAATATAAAACGAAAATACTAACAACTAATAACACGAACAATACTAATAGTATAGTAATATTTCTAAACTACTACTAACACTAGTAACGAAACTTCGAGATCAGAGCCACAGGAGGGTGAGGGGCGTAGAACTTAAAGGCCAAAGGCCAAAAAGGCCACGAAACCTCATAGGTTTCGTCGTAGCAAAGTTAGCAAACCTCCGAACCTTTGGGCCCGAGATCTCTATTCCAGTTTTGTAAGTGGCGTAGCCTGTCAAAAAAAGATCGTACAGCAAACCGGAAAGGAATCCTACGAAGGAAACCGATTCTCATGATTACGAAGCCATTTCTTTTGCGAAACCCGAAACCCCCAAACCCCCGAACCCCTAAACCCACACTAAACCCGAAACCAAACGCCGAAACCCTGAACCCCAAACCTTAAACCCCGAAACCTGTAAACCCTCAAGCCCTCGACCCCTCAAACCCCAACCCCAATCGAACCCTAAACCCTAAACCCCTAAACCCTAAACCCCTGAACCCTAAACCCCTAAACCCTAAACCCAATCTTGCCGCCCAGTTGCTGCTTTGCCAGGGCAGTGCTGCCCGCCGAATCGGAGCTCCGAGCACCTGATGCCTGGACTATTCGGGTGATTTTTCGGTTGGTTTTCGTGGTTTTGGAATGAGGTTTATATAGAGTATCTATTAAGTATATAGGGTATACAAGATATCAATAGTTATAGGGCATATAGCGAGTGTATAGTCTTTATGGGGGCGTTTAGGGTATAAGGTTTGGGGGTGTGAGGGGTTATCTCGGGTTTATCAGGTATAAGGTATAGGGTTTAGGGTTTGGGGTTCTGGCATTTGGGCAATTATAGGGCTTGTGGTATAGAATCTAGGGTTTTGAGTTTCGGGTATGAATCGGGCTATGGGGTTTACGGTATGGGGCTTCGAGCACAAGTCTAGGGTTTGCTGTTCTGTTGCGCTGCAGCAGTACTAGACGTATTGGGGCACCTGGTGCTCAGCAATTCCAAAACCCTAAACCCTAATCCCCCACGCTGCAAACCCCTCGCAATTTCAACATATCTCAACCCAACCCCGAAACCACCAAACCCGACCTATCCAAAAAGGAGATGCAAAAGCCCATAACCCTCAGAAAAAACACCGAAAATCCTAATCCCTAAATCCCAACTCCTAAACCCTAAGGAAGTATCCCTAAACCCTAAACCCTCCTAAACCCCAAGGAAAATATCCCTCAACCCTTAACCCTAAACCTTATAGTACCCCTATAGATCCCTTAAAGGGACCCTTAAAACCCTACTTACTAAGCCACCACTGCCGGGAAGAAACGTTCATGGTGGCCCAGCCCTGGAGATCCTCAGAGGAGCTCGCGGCCTCTCTGCAGGGCTGTTGCATAGTGGTAGACGCTTTGAGGAGTCTACGGTTCGGTTCAGGGTTTAGGGTTTAGGGTTTAGGGTTTAGGGTTTAGGGTTCGGTTCAGGGTTGAGGGTTTAGGGTTTAGGGTTCGGTTCAGGGTTTAGGATCTAAGGCCTGGTATAATGGGTGACGCTTGAAGGAGTCTGGGGTTTAGGGTTTAGAGGTTACTACGTGAACAAATGCTATAAGGTATAGGGTTTCGGATTGCTTTACGAGCTTTTTGTTTGTCGACGAGTTTCTGAGTTTTATTCTACATAGCACCATTACCGCACATTCTCCCATGTTGTTCACATGTAATGGATTGTATGGTCAAGGGTCAGAGCTTTGGATTTGGGGGCCTCGGTGATTGGAACGGGGCTTTGGGGTAGATTACACTGTAGCTGTCTAACTGAGGAGCGCTGAGATATGGCAGCAGTCTCCTTTTTTAGGGTTGCGGGCTTTAGGGTTTTTGGGGCCCAGGGGAGAGGGCTTCGGGGTTAGGAAGGCTTTGGGGCTCATGGTATCAATGATTCACAGTCTAGCTTGGAGGTGGATCTTGAAGGCTCGGAAGATAGTTCTTACCCATAGGCTCCAGAGTAGCTCCTTTTGGGGGGTTCATCTTTTGAATCCTATAAGCTAACCCCCGAAAAAGGAACGACTATGGAGCCTCTGGGTATATACCCTCTATAACTCCCAAAACCAAACCCCCCGGGAAAGATCGGAAAGCCTGTACCTGGACCCCCAAAAGTATGTCGAATAATAGCCTTTTTTATGTGGTATTGGGCCATTATGTTGCCTATTTTGGTGGGTTTAGGTATGATCAAGGACACCGACGGTGGGGGTACAAGGCAACTAATAGGCCTTCATAAGGCTGTGGGGTTTAGGGGTGGCAAAACAGGCAGTGTTCTGTCACCGGTAACTACGGAGTACCACTGCTCCCTTGCAACCCTAGGTGCTGAATCCTCCGATTCTTCAAGAAGCTTCCCAATCCCGCCCAGCCGTCCTCGGACGAGTCATCCGACTCGAACTCCTGATCCAGCAGGTCCTTGCTGCCATAGGAGCGCTCGATTTCGGCCTGGCCGTCAACAAGTTTTGGAACCTTCGCACTTCGACCGTGGATTTCGGGTGCTTTACACATCTGGCACATTCAGACGGCTAGTTCGTAAGTGGACTTCGGCACTCATTGAGGTCCCTGCATTACAAGGCTTAGAGCTCCGACGCCTCCACTCCCTCGAGGGCCGCCACGTCGCCCCGGACGGCTAGAGCCTGGTCGCCGGTAAACTATAAACGCTAAACTCCTACTACTGCTACTACTCCTGGTTGGGCTTCAGGATATGGTTTAGCGCTCAAAATTTAAGGATTCAGGATGTAGGGGGGCCTTACCAATACGACGAGTGTGTTTGTGGTAATGTTACAATATACTGACACACGAAGGAACTCTAAGGAAATCGAATTGGGAATTATTCAAACATTTTCAAGTCAGTGGAGTCTCTGGGGTTCTGAAGTTCAAGATACAACTCGGGCTTTTGTTGCGTAGTAGCGTACAAAAACGAATACCAGACATGCAGATAACTAACTATACATGCAATATGCTACGATGTAATCTATATAGATATATACAATAGAGAGAGAGGGAGAGAGAGAGAGAGAGAGAGAGAGAGAGAGATTGACAGAGAGATGGAGTTTCGGCTGCTGCACATCAAGGGCTTGGGGTCTACGGCTTTTACGAAGCCAAGGAAGCCCCCCTTCCCCTCACCCCCCCACCCAATAATTAGAATCGGTCCTTTCTGCATTGCTGTTCCTGCGCTTGGTTGATTGCTGTCAGCTGGGCGGTGCTCTAATGGCGAAGCATTGGAACCTGGCGGTGCATGCCACCATAGAAGCCTCAATCATCGATAGCATCATCCCGCTATGGTGCAGATACCATGCGGAAACTACCCCCGCTTGAACTGTGCGCCCCACCCCCAATCTGATTTCGGTGTGGTGCCTCGAATCAAACCACACGGTGGGAATCTTATCAACCCCCAGCCTAAACCCTGGCCCTACACCGTAAACCCTGAACCCTTGGCACGCTACAAACTCAAAACCCTAAACCCTAAGCGACAGGCCCTACTTAAACCTCCCAAATTAGGTAAAATAATGGCCAATACCCATAAAACAAGGCTGTTATTCTACATACTTTTGGGGTCCAGGTAAACTCAAAGTCACTAACTGCCTGGAGTGCTGCGCACTGGTTGGCCGCGGCAGCTGCCTGGTCCTGCACAGAGTGAGGTGTTGTACTGGTTTGGCACTCTCAGGCTTTTATGCAGCTACTAGCATGGTTTAGGGTTCATAGTGCTTTGCATCCTGAACCAAGGATCCTTCTTCGGGATCTGTCGTGATGATGTTATGGATCTGAATCTGACAGCTTCCAGGGTTAATTGCCGGGTGCTCGAAGTGCCTGTTTTACTGCAACGGTCGGGGTCCTGTCCAGACCCTTTCCCATAACAACCTATGTCGCATGAGCATGAACGACATGAAATGCACAACACAAATTTCAAGATACAAAGTAAAGCAATAAGTATCAAAGAGATGCATCAAAGGAGTGTTTAGGTCGACTTGAAAGTTCAGGACTCGTTGCGTGCAGAGTTTGGGAATTGGGGTCTGGGGTTCAGGGCTTAGGCTTCAGGGTTTAGGTTTCGGGTTTAGGGATACAGGCTTTGGAGTCCACGAAATGGGGACTGCAGAGTTTACGGTTCATGCTTTGAAGCTTGGGATTCAGGGCTTAAGACCATTGTGGTTGAGAGCTCAGAGTTTCGAGTTTAGGCTTCGGGTTGCGAGTCCAGGCTTCGAGGATTTGGCATTTAGGCCAGACAAGCGGCGCCAAGAACACATCTTCTGAAAAAAACTACCTGGGCCCCAACAAGTATGTAGAATAATAGCCTTTTTTATGGGTATTGGGCCATAATTTTACCTACTTTGGGGGGTTTAGGTAAGCGACTGCTGCCTCTTTAGATGTGGTCTACAAAGAACCGCAAGCGTAGACCCTCACAGCTCTAAATAGCCTCCCGGAGATCAACCTTAAGTAAGCCGTTCACCACCAAAACCCGGAACATACTCTTAGAACCTGACAGCGCGAAAGCCTATGCCCTGAGCTGTAAAGAGAGGCATTGATATCAACTCTAGTATGAAAGTCGAACTAAATGCTGGTACTGAAGGGTAAACCCCAAACCCCATAATGCTTAACCCTACCTGGACCCCAAAAGTATGTAGAATAATAGCCTTTTAATGAGTATTGGGCCATCATTTTATCTACTTTCGGAGGTTGCGGTATACCCTCAACCCCGTAGTGCTTAACCCTAAGCCCTAGCAAGCTGCAGGCAGCCTGAAGATGCTTGAGATCGGCAGTCAGGTTCGCAATCTTGCGGGCCACTTGCTTTCCCTGCGGTGAGAACAACGACTCCCTGGACCCCAAAAGTATGCCCATTGTTTTGCCTACTTTGGCGGGTTTAGGTCAGCAGGATTCGCATGTAAGGCTGCGGGATCAAGCCACAGCCTTCAGAGAGGGGTTGAAGCCTCGATATCAGATGTTGCATGCATACGTACATGCATACTACATATACACATGCTAGCGCGCATTCATTGTCACAGGCACATATATACACACACACACACAGCAGATACATAAACGTACGTACACAGAAACCTATGCATGCATTCACCTGAGCAGCCGCAGCAGCAGCAGCAGTAGAAACAAATCCACCACAAACATGCGGATTAACCGACTTAACAATGCCGTCGTTGCTTGTGCCACACCGACAATAAAACAATGGCGGCACAGCGGCAGCAACGCTGTGCGGTAAAGTTATGGCACCCACAGTACATGTTACCAGCGAGATCAGATGATGAAATGCATAGCACGTTCCGACTGGGTTCTCGCAGTGCTGCGCTGTTGCCTCTTTCTGCTTTCTGTTTGCACACGTTCTGAACGCCAGTTCTGCTGGAGCTTCACACGCAGCCAAAGACATGTTGGCGCTTTGCATAGGTCTACTGATTCTACTGCTGACGCTGCCTACCCTTGCCGTTCTACCAACGCGGCATTGCATCACTGGAGACCGTAAGACACATCATTTGCTCGAACATCTATACGGGCCTTAGCAGGCATGTATCAAATCATACTGTGGCTCTAGCTATGAATTCAGAGCGAATTGAGGCACGAAGTGCATTTCTCACGATTGAACCTCTCACCACGTTCAAAGACCTTCCCATCCAGCCTTGTCCTTCTCGTTGTGGATGGCATTCCTCAAAGGTTCTTCGGTTCTTGTCTGAATCAGCAAAACTGCATCAGTGGCTGGGGGCGTCGACACAAAACTCCTGACTTCGTAGGAGAGCCTTATTGTGATCTCATGAGGTTTGGGGCCTATACCCAAGCCCAGCCGCTGATTCTTCTTGCCCTCCCGCTTCTGGCGTTCCAGCTTGGCAAGGGCACGTTCATGCTGGACCTTCTCCTGGCACGCGAATAACGACGAAGAAAGCAGCAATGACAAAGACACAACCATACCGTAGGCAACCATGGCAGACCAACAGGCGAAATTCACCATCAAGTTGATCGCATACTCGGCAGACACCTCAGCTTCGCCATCACCATCTTCATCACAGTCATTATGAAAATCACATCATCGTCACCAGACGCTGTTGCTCAACACCATAAGCAACATTTTCTGTTCATGAGTCTGGAACTCAAACTCGAAACGAGGGAACCACAAAGCCCTAAGTTCACCCCATACCCACCTTCTCGGCTTCGCGAATGAGCTTCTCCTGCCGTGCAAGCACGCTAAGACGCTTGGGAAGAGTCGCGTCCAAAAGGCGTTAACATAATGGGGCCTGAATAATTACCTATACTATTTTGGGGGTTCCTTACTATACATTATAGTATAATGGGCCCCAACACCCTACTCTAATTCTTAAGGCCCCTATATGAAGGCCTACCGGATGGTAGAGGCTGCCACCAGGGGAGCTATAGGCTTCGATGATAGAAGGTTCGGAGTTGAATCTTCCAGGCTTCACGATTGAGGGTTTGGGCGCTAAGTTTGACGTGAGGGTTGGAAGATGCTGAAATGGTGTCGAGGGCACATGCTGCACCTTTCAACTTGCAGTTGGAATCAGTTGGAGCTATCTACAGTAGGACACCGGCTCTGCACTGTCAGCACATGAAAGATCATAAAAGTCGGCTTTTTGCTAGCATAGCAACACTAAACATTCGCACTCGCCGACCTCCTGAAGAATCGCCAACATAGATCTTAAGCGTTAAACCCAAAGCCCCAAACCCACCCTACACTAGCCTTCTCGAAGCTTTTTGGGTTTAGGGATCTACACCCAGAGGCCCCAAAGTAGCTCTTTTTGGGATTACCTTATAGGGTTCTATATACGAATCCCCAAAAAGGAACTACTTTGGGGCCTTAGGGTAGGGCCTTTTCGGACTAGGCTTTAGGATATTCGGTTTGGGGCATCTTAGGACTTGGGTTTAGGGTTTAGGGTTTAGGGTTTGGGTTAGTTTTGTGTTCGAGTGTTGCCGTTTTTCTGGCAAACGTTAAATAAGGAAGGATGCTACTACTAACGGTGCCTCCTGAGCCGCATCACTCACGAAAGCAGCGTCTAAAATATGCACGGCTAAAAACACAAACCCTTCACTGGACTTAACCCTCGAAATCCTACGACCTTGTTCCCGATTTCGATCTAAAGACTACATATTAACCGCTGAATCTGAAGCAGAAAGCCCTAAACCAAAATCCGTAAACTCCGAAACACTAAATCCGACATAACTCTAGCCGCTAAAACCTGAAAGCCCATCAATCTCTCTCAAGACTGCCCAAAAATTCCGCTCACGCCTGCCGGGCCACCTCCCTCTTAGCAATCTGGTGGCTAATCTCCGAAGTGAACCACCGGGCCTGAGAAGGCAACCAATAGGCTGTTTGCAGTCCTTTTGTAATACATGGTTCTATACAGAGGGGTCAGGCGTGACAGGGTTCTGTAGGGGTTTGGGGTTTGATCCCTCAGGTACCTGGAGGCCAAGCCTCAATCCTTTCAGCTTTTCACTGCAGACATGCCTAAATTCTAATGCCTAGGGGGTAGCGGGCTAGGATTGAGGTCTTATGTATGCTTGGTAGTGTGCATATACTCATAGTAAGGAGCCGGACTTCACTGGACATTACGGTAAACCCCATAAACTTGGAAACCGGATTAAGGCCAAATGGTGCTGGGATTCCCTACAGGGTTTTGGGGCCCACTATACTATAATTATGATAAGGAATCCCAAACATCGCATTGGAAAGTATTTCGGCCCCTATCTTAGCATGTTTCTTCATTCAAGCTTAGAGTTTAGCTATTTACGGTTTAGTCCTACACTCTCAACCCGAAGTCCTAAAAACCCAAACCCTAAAACCCGGAACCCTAAACCCTAAAACCTGAAAGGAAAACGTCGGGCCTGTGGCTCAATAGGCTTCAGCTACGCTGTGTCCATCGGCTTCAAACCATGTGCCCTGATGATTCTGCGCCGAGAATTGAAAGCACCTTACACCCTGCAATTCCCAGAACCTCTCAGAACTAAGTCCTGAAATATGAACTAAATCCTGAAATCAAAATCCGAGAAGTTGCTCACAGTCTCAGAAGCAAAGCCTGAGCTGTACACCGAAAGAACAACCCTGCAAGCAGTTGCCCACCTTGACGGGGCCCTGTGTGTGCTCCAACAGCTGCCCATCGGCTTCCTCCAAAGTCAGGTGCAATTTCACATATGATATCTAACCTACTCTTGCTCAACCCCAAACTCCTCGCCCACCATAAACTACCTTTTGTTTGCAAGTTCCCTACGAAGTCGATGTTTTGATTTATGTTTAAGCCTGTTCAAGCCTTACACACACTTCGGTTTTGGCAGTTTAAGGAAGGGGTCTGCGGTTCGAAGAAGTGGAGGGGGAGGGGGTCGAGAATGCAGGGCTTCGTACTTCGGGGCTGTAGGTGTGCACGACGGGACTATTCAGATCGGAGTGTAGAAGTCCCGGTGTTCAAGCTCAAGACTAACAACCTTCGGGATTTCAGGCTGGGGATGTTAAGCTTGGGATGGAAGCTGCATAGACCATTGTACCCTGAAACAGAATCCAAAACAGGGGATCCCGATTGTGTGGACACCCAACAACGGACCTCTCATTCTGAGCAGCCTCAACACAGGCTTTGAGTTTTAGCCTCTGAGGTTCACCCCCCAACTGGACCTCTTGAATCCTGCATCCTGCATCAATATTCTGCCCAGAAAGGGCAAGTACTATAGTCCTTGCTCTGGACATTCCTTCAACTCTGGCAGGGGTCCTCAAGCGAGGCACTCTCCACAAACACGTCTCAACCCCATAATAAACCGCTTTATCAAACCCTTATATAGTACAGTATAAGTATATATCAATCATATCAACAATATAAGAAAACAGCCTTATAGACCCCTTATGTAGTACAAAATAAGACGCTCAGAAGACTCAACGAAACCGAAATCCCGCCCCCTAGAGCTGACCTTATCCCCAAACCTTTTCCCACTTCCCAGCCTCGCGTGCCGCCCTCATGTCTGTGACGCACTTCTGCGCCTCGTTTGGGTAAGCCCTAAACTTTAAACCCTGAACCTAATTGGGACTTTAGCTTAGAAGTTGCGGTTTCGGGGTCTTTAAGGCCCAAGAGCTTTCAGGGAGTTGAGTTTATTTAGGTTCAGGGTGGGTGTTGCTATTGAGCCTTACATTACTTGTACCGCTCCGGCATAGACGTGCTCCCCACTTCGGAAGCTCCATTTTCCCAGTGGTGGCTGCGCGCTCTGACATGTGGTGCTCGTGACCACTTGGAATTCGACAGGAGCCGTCGAACCTGCTTGCGGCCATACGCAGCATCAAACGGAGTCTTTCCACGACTGTCACGCATGCTAGGGCGAGCCCCTGCCTTCAGGAGCAATCGCACCACCCTCACCTGGCCGCGAGCGCACGCTATCCACAACGGGCTTCGTCCAGATGGGTCTGGGGAGTCTACGACGGCTCCCGCTTCCACCAAAGCTGTCGCTGCCTCCATAGAGGCCGTCGAGCTGAGGCTCTCAGTCGCAAGGAGGAGTGGTGTCAATCCGGCATCGGTTCGGGCTTCGGTGTTCGCCTTGGACTCCAGGAGAGCACCTTAGGGGCTGAGTATCCTAGCCCGAAAAAGCTTAACAAAGCTTAACCTTTTGAAGTATGGTAGGATTCTACAAACCCCAAAAGGTTAAAGTAGTACCCTACTACTACTACCCTTATGGTACACCTTTGTAGATCACTTCAAGAAACCCAAAGCTATACTAAATTTAGAACCTAGCAAAAATTGCAATTTTAGATGTTTCCTAGGGATTATAATAACCAATTTATTTCTAAGCACCCCTTAGAAAAGATTAAAGGTTACCTGCTCAGCTACTGAGGAACTCATCACATCGGACTGTGGGATCAAAGCTGATAAGCACAAGGGCGTGCCCAGTGTACCAGCTTTCTCGAGACTGGCTCCGGCTGCCAACAGGCATTGCACCTTGCTTGCAGTGCTTTAGGGCTTGGGGTTTAGGGTTTAGGGTTTAGGGTCAGGTGGGAAAGAGCAGTTACGGGCTTCCGTTTTGAATCGGCTGTCTACTTGGGTAATTGTCAAAATTAGGGTCCCTTTTTTGGGTACCCTAAATAATAGGTGCCGTATTATAATAGGGACCCAAAAAGGGACCATAATTTTGACAACCACCCACTCAAAATTTTACCAACTCCGCACCGAAAGTACTACCTCCAGCTGATGTTGCAGTACGGCCTGGCACAGCGGCGTCCAGGGCTGATCAGACCCGTTGCCGTTCGGATCAGCGTGCGCTTCCAACAGCAGCTGCATGATCTCAATCTTTGTCTTTCTGGCGCATCTTAAAAGAAAGTGCCCTGCATTTGGATCCAAAGGCACCTGGAGGAGCCTCTCCACCTCTTCCACAAACCCTTTTGAGATGGCCTCGAGGATTGCCGCTTGAAGATCGGAGGTGCTCACAGGAGTCAGCATCACAAGCTGCAGGTCGCGGTCGGTGGGAAAGTCCAAGGACTCGTCATCTTCCATACTTCTACCATCCAGAAGGAGCCTCTGACGAAAGCGCGGCAGCCCGCAGTAGCCCTGAAGCTGCTTCTTCAACGCCCTCACAGTCTCCAGCTCCTTACCCGAGATGGCGACCAGCTCTTCGCCAGAAGCTTTCCAGATACGAAGCATGCAGAAAGCCGCCAGGGGACGAAGCGCAAGACCACCGAGAGCTGACAAGCAAGACTCGTGACCCTTCAACCCTCGAACTCAATGCACTCCTGCTGCCTAGATGACTTTGCACTGTAGCGAACCTGGCAACCTTCACCGAACAGCGAGGCGAAAACGAAAAAGGAGACTCTAAACTGCAAGCCCCTAAACCCTTAAACCCTTAACCACGTACCTTTAACCCGAAACCTTAAACCCTGCAAAGAATGAGCCGGTAGCTCTCCAGTTAAGACCCGGACGGGGCCCTGCCACGACTTTCCTAGATACTCTAGGGGCCTCAATACTTGGAATGGGCTCCTTTACAGAGTGGTTCCGTTAAGGGTGAGTTTTGATGGTTTCTCCAAATAACTTTACAAGGGAGTAGAGTTTGGAAATGACACTTCTATAATTCTATACTGCATGCGATAGCAGCTGCTTCGAGCCAATTTTCGTGGCGACAGCAACGGCGGCTGTGTACTGCTATATAGTAAGCCCCACAAAGTTGGAAACCGAGTTAAGGTCAAATAGTGTTGGGATTCTTATGATTATGTAGTACTCAAACCCTAAACCCTGAACTCCCTAAACCCCTCTTCAAAAGCAGGAATCTTAGCACATCCTCTTACTTATGTAAGGATTGAGGCTCTGGGGTTTCCATCTCTTTGGCTTCCACTGTAGGGCATGAGCGGTGGGGCCCTGGAGCCATAGCCCTGAGAGTACAAAGTCTGGAATCCTCAACCGTAATATCATATCTGGCAACCTTATATGGCTGTGATAAAATCCTACTAGCCCTATTTGAAATACTACAGCTTCTTCAGAGCCCAGCATCTGCGAAATGCTGGCTCCAACCGTGCAGCTAGGCGTTTTGAGGTTTACATCTTCAGGGTCCAGCCAGGGCTTAAGTTCCTGGACATGCTGTCGGTTTAGGGTTTAGGGTTTGGGGTTTAGGGATTCAAACAATTGAAGGAAGGCTTCGTTTTTCTGTTCTGGACTCGGATCAGGCTTAAAGGTTATCGGGCATCCGGATGCTGAGGTGCGACCTATCGCTATCTTTGCATCAGCAATGCTTCTCCAATCTTAATTAACTTCTGAGTACTGCCATAACAGCCACGCTACGAGAAAAACGTGCACTGCGGGCGTCGGGAGAGATGCTCCCCACTTCGGAAGCTCCATTTTCCCAGTGGTGGCTGCGTGCTTTGACATGCGGGGCCCGTGACCACTTGGAGTTCGATAGGAGCCGCAGAACACCCTTGCGCCGGCGCGCAGCATCAAACGGAGTCCTTCCGCGATTGTCACGCACGCTCGTGCGGGCCCCTGCCTTCAGGAGCAAGCTCACCACCCTCATGTGGCCACGATGAGATGCTACCCACAATGGGGTTCGTCCAAACTTGTCCGGGGAGTCGACGATGGCTCCAGCTTCCAGTAAGATGCTTGCAATCTCCAGAGAAGCCTGTGGCCGGAGGCTCTCCTGAATTCTTGTGAAGGAAGTTAACTTAAATTACCAAAAAAAAGTATCTAAAAGTAATTAGGGTTTCCTGATTATGGTACCTTAAATTAACTAATAATATTATGGTACCATTAAATTACAGCCACCAAAACCAGAACCCAGTCTCCGTCACCAGGAGGAGCGGGGTCGCTCCCGCAGCGGTTTGCGCTTCCTACGCTGAACTTAGAACCCTAGCGAAAATTAGAATTTGTGCTGCTTCTTAGGGATTATAATAACCAAAAAATAAAAAAATTGTAGTTTCAGCTATTTCTTAGGGACTATAGTAAAAAAATCACAAAATATTTCTAAGTACCCCTAAGCTTCGAGGTTTGCCCTGCACTCCAGGAGAAGTCGCATCATGTCCGGAACTCCGGCGAGGGCCCCCAAGCCTGGGTTCTGGTTTTGGGGGATGCAGGGTTTTAGGGCTTTAGGGTTTAGGGGTTTAGGGGTTTTGGGGGTTTAGGGTTTAGGGCTTTAGGGGTCTAGGGCTTTAGGGTTTAAGAGTTTTTCACGGCTTTAGAGGTTTTAGGGGTTTAGGGTCCTAAGCCTGGGTTCTTGTTGGCGGATATATATTTTTAAGGTGCCATAATACTACGGAAACCCTATTACTTCATGTAGATCCCTACTACTATGGTAACTTAAATTAAAACTCCTTAGCAGGGACCCAGAAGCACAAGGGCGTCCCCAATAGACCGGCTTTCTCGATGCAGGCTCCGGCTTTCATCAGGCATCGCACCTTACTTTTCGCGGCTTCAGGGTTTGTAATTCCCTAAAAATGGGAACACAACTGCGCTTTACATGGTTTCCCGTGTTCGAAGAGGTTTCTACTCTGTGAAGGATGCCAACTCAACATCCCAGACACTGCCTCCTGCTCATGTTGCAGGGCGGCCTGGCACACCCAGACCCCCGGGAGGATCTAGAAAGTAAATCCCCTAATTTGGGGCCCTATACTACTAAGGGTACTCTATAGGAACCCCCATTAAGGGATCTACTTTTTGGATCCTCCCGGCGGCCTGGCACAGTGGAGGCCAGTGTTCATCAGACGCATTGCCGTTTGGATCGGCTTCTGCTTCCAACAGCAACTGCCTAGGATCCCAGTAACCTAAGAATAAAAAGGCCTCTCTTTTTGGTATTGGGTAACTTTATAAGGAACCTAGGACTACAAAAAGGGAATAAGGGTACTACTGGGCATCCTAGCTGCATAATCTCAGTGTTTCTCGTGCTGTTGGAAAGGAAACGTCCTGCATTTGGATCCAACGGCAGCTGGAGACACTTCTCAACCTGCACTACGCAATCTTCCGAGATAGCAGCCTCCATATCATCTACTTGTTCGTCGGAAGTGCCAACAAAGCCCAACATCACCAGCTGCAGGTCACGGTCTGTGGGAAAGTCCAGGGACTCATTGTCTTGCAAATTTGTTCCATCAAGGAGGAGCCTCTGACGAAAGCGTGGCAGCCCGCAGTAGCCTTGAAGCTGCTTCTTCAAAGCCCTCACGGTGAGCTCCTTACCCGAGATGGCGACCAACTCTTCACCAGAAGCTTTCCAGATACGAAGCATGCGGAACGCCGCTGGGAAAAAAACTCTATGCTCGATCCCACAAGCCCTCGACCCCTGCGAAGCTTAAACCCCGAAGCCCGAAATTGAATCCTGCATGTAAATCCAACTTCCTCCAAGAAAACTCTCTCTTGAACACTTGCCCCTGAACGGCCTTGCAAGATCAAGCCTCGAAGCGGAAGTGTGGATGGCTGCAGCAACTTGGGTTACACAGGGGCTTCGGCCGTTAGCGTTCTGGGCTTAACGTGGATCATGATGGTAATCATGATAACCGTGGTACTGACGACGAAAACACTGCTGTTGCATCAGCAGTGAGTAGGGTTCTTCGGAACAGACCCGATGATGACATACACGGTACAAGCTGATATTTTGCACACCGTTGCATGCTCATCCTTCGCAAAGGATCTTAGCACGAAGGACCCCCGTGCAAAAAATCCAGAGCCGCGCAGCAAGCCTCGTCTTCGAATAGTGTCCGAAACAACCCTAACCCCCAAACCCAAAAGCCCTAAGCCGTCAACTCTAGACCATTTTGGCTGCCGGCCTCGTTTATGCAGCGGTCGGCCTGCTCCTCTGTGATCTGCCAAGCCTCTCCAATGATTGTGGGACCGTTCGAGCATAACTGTACATACTTAGGGTGCGCCGAAAGAAGTAAGCGGTACGTCGCCGGGGGCTTGTCGCAAATTCAGGATTTTGCTACTGTCTGAAAACCCATGTATACATGTAGATCAGGATCATATACAACACATAACATTGACGCCGCAACCTCAAAGCCTCTGAGTAAACCCTCTGCGTCTGAAAGGAAGACTTCATCCACAGCCCCGAGCCTGGCCCCCGCAAGGCCATGACCCAAACAAACTCAAAGCTCGAAAGTCCTACTACAAGACCCACAAAACCTTCTAAGGTCCTATATGAACCATATAATCTTTCCATAACAAACATGGTAAATACGGTGGCATGGGGTTTTGAGGCTTCGAACTCCAACCACCCGGTTCCGTCCTCGCGAGCTGCGTTCAGCTCGTCCTGTGCCCTGGTATGAGCATCCTCCGCGATTCGCCTTGGGCGTTCGGGTGGGTTAAATGGTTAAGGTCTAAATAGAGTCAAGCAACCGCAGCACATTCAGTATCGTTTAGCGACTTGGCGGGTTCTGGGGGTTAAAGTTTGCAGGAGGCTGGGTTGAGGGGCTGACGCATGTAGATACATCTTTGAGCTGTTGGGATCGGGTTCACCTACCCTACATCCGAGTTCAATACCCTGGCCCCGAAACCCCCAGAACAAGCTGCAGGCCGCCCGCCACATGTCATGTCCGATGCATCTTCGGGACTGGGCTAGGTCTGCTCTTCAGAAACCCTAAGGGTCCAGGTACCCAAATTCTGTAGCATATGGGTGGTTGTCAAAATTATGGCCCCTTTTTGTGTACCCGAAATAATAGGTGCCGTACTATAATAGGACCCAAAAAGTGACCCTAATTTTGACAACTACCCATATATTTTGGCCTTAAAGTATAGTCCCTATATAGGTACTATGGGGCCAAAGTATATCCTATTTGGATACATGGACCCTGACAAGGCACTACCATACGGGTTACTGCAAGCTCACAGCAAGGGCTCCGGGGTTCGAGGTTGGGGGTTTAGGGATTTGGGCTTAGGGGGTCTGGATCCGAATATTGTGTCTGCCTAAACCCCCCAAAGTAGGTAAAATAATGACGCAATACCCGTAAAAGGCCATTATTCTACATACTTTTGGGATCCAGGTGGTCTGCTGTGACGAAACGTTAGGTGCAGCGTTTACTTCTCCTCTTGGATACAGCTTGACGCTCGGCTTTCCAAAGCCGGCAGTATGAACACGGTGACTTCCTGCATAAAGAGGGGCAACCTGAACCCTATAAACGCTACTGTATGCCCTATAAGGTTTAGGAATTCCGGTATAGGGTTTCAGAGTTCAGGGCTCGAAGTTCATGGGACTCGACTGATTGCTACAATGGTTCTTCTGCAATCTCCCCTTACTTCCAGAACACTAGCAGGAACGATTGATATCCAGGCTACTAGTAGGCCCCTTGTTGCTACAATAGTCGCCCAAGAGGACCTGGGAAGCACAACAAGTCCAGGGCTTGGTGTTGTGTTGATCCTTGCCTCCTCTACCCTGATTAATCCATGAAGCGGTCCTTGGTTCTACCTGCAAGAAGTGGCGACATGTCAGATATTCATCTTATCACTCCTATCTGAAAGGAAGCCGCTGTCAAAGGGCATGTGGTCTTGCATGGATACCTGACCCAGTTCAAGTTTCATTAACTAAGTGCGCCCATATTTTCCGACAGAGCTGCTCCCGGACATACAGCACTTCGTTGCGGAGGTGGTCGAAGCGATACTGGGTCAAGAGCTCCTGTCAGGAATCGCTCGAACCCCGTTTGTAGGGCCCCGAAAAAGCACACAAGACACAAATATGTACGCGCATCCCCTTGTCACGAAGCCCAACAACTTAAGGATATCCGTATATAATGCTTGTGCTTCTCTCCTTTTGGGGGGCCCTGGCTTTGGGGTGTCGGGTTTATAGGGTGTGTTATGTTGCTTGATGGTGCAATCGGATGAGATCGGGATAGACGCAGACTTTGCCGGGTAGGTTCAGGGATGCCTATATAAGGCCTCTCTGAAGTCCGTGGTATGAGGGTCATCTGGGATCAACCTCCTAAACCCTAAACCCTCCGAACCTAAAGCCCTCCTAGACCCCCCAACTACCCTCTACATTAGAAGCTGCCCCCACCCTGTAATAGTCACTATAAGGACTTTATTAGGGCCCTATTATATTCCTATTATACCACTATTACAGGGTGGGGGCAGCTTCTAACCTCTACAGTATTATAGCCAAAAATACCCGTTACTGCGGACCATGAGGGTTCCAGTAAAGGGCCATTGGGGGCTCCTGGCTGAACAAATAGTGATCATAATAACAATAACAATAACAACAGCAATAATAATGATAATAATATTAGTAATAATAATAATAATAACAATAATAATAATAATACGAATAATACTAATAATACTAAAAAATAATCAGAAAGCTCGCAACTCTGCAGTCCCATTGCCTTGCACTCGTTCCATTTCGCTTGGAGCTTTTCTCCCGTCTCAGTCACCTTCGGAGGTTTACTGGGCCCACTGTTCTATAACTATAGTACCTGGACCCCAAAAGTATGTAGAATATAGCCCTTTCTAGGTACGGGGCCATTATTTTACCTACTTTGGGAGGTTTAGGTAAGGACCCCCCCAAAATAGCATTAGTAGCTATACTAGAGTTTGGGGTTTAGGTCTTGCTATCACGGCTGGAGGTTTAGGGGATCTGGGCGGTCGTGGATTTGGGGATCGAAGGGCTAGGGGGGTGTGATTAAGGGACTACGAAAGGGTCTGGAATTAGGGCTTAGGGCTTCACGGCTTTTGGGGTTTGGCATGGGCTGTGTAGGTGTAGCGGGGTTTCAGCTTTCCGGCGCAGGGCTTATGATATAGTGGTGCTTGGTATTCTGGATCCCCACTCCTCAAGGCAATAAAGTTACGCTTTTCTCTTCGGTCGCTTGTATATGGGCTTCACATGGCCCAAACAGTGACGGTTGGTGAGCTGAAACGTCAACTATGTTGGACAGGATGTGCCTTTGAGACTTGTCGAATGATGTTCCCCTTTGCCAATTTGCTGCGTCGAATGTACTCCAGCCAGACGAAACCCTAGACTGTATCTATTATATGATGGCCATAAGTGACCTACATACTGGCTTCAGTATCGTGGGTTGGATAACTAGCATCGTACTCTCGATGATCGTCTAGTGGGAACCCCAAGTCTTAGAATCCCTAAACCCTAAACCTCTACCTAAACCTCCCAAAGTAGGTAAAATAATGGCCCAATACCCATAAAGGGCTATGATTCTACATACTTTTGGGGTCCAGGTAGACCCCAAACCCCAAACCCCTAAACTCTGAAGCATCAAGATCAGGGGCACCTTCGCCGAGGCAGCGCCGCGAAGATCTTCGATCTGGCAGGAGCGGCAAGCACGGATGGGTTAGGGTTTAGGGTTCCGAGTTTTGAAGGATCATAAACTCATACTATTGCGAACCTGTAGCTACTACCATTGCAAGCCCAAGTACCTAATTATGGGGTACTTCGGACCCATTGGGTTGAGGCGTTGGGTTTGGGGCATTGGGATTTGATCTGCGTCACTGTTATGGTGCCAAGATACTAGCATGATACTGGTATCAAGAAGCAGACACATAAAGCGTGCGGTACTAACATCAAGAAACTCCTATCTGCAGGCTCTCGGCTGTAGTTCTCCATGGTTCAGGACTACACGGCTCTGGTGCATCTGTACCGCCAGATCAAGCAAGAACCTCTCCATCTTAGCATTATAACAAGCTTGCTCCCTGCATTCGAGGTGCGAGCCGCCTATGGTCGTCACAATTTCGTGCGCAATTTCGGTGCAAGTCTCAACCTAATACCCAACAAACCCAAAGCTACAGTCACGCCCCCGTCCTTAGCCGCAAACCCTAAACCCTAAACCCTGAATCCTAAACCCTACGCCCAAACCCATTCCTTCACCACCTGCATCATCATCGCGCCCTTGACCTCGACATGAATCAGCCCGGTAGCCATTCCATTCCCTACAGAGCTCTACTCGAAGGCTCATTATGTTGAGGGCTTATAGGGTCTTGGGTTTATAGATCAAGCAGGGCTACAAGCAAGAGATGTGTCCATACTACTACATCCGAAAGTACTGACGAAGTCACAACATGCTTCTAAAGGGTCTGGGGTTTTTAGGGTTTAGAACCATGCACCCTCAGCCCTCGAGCCACTCCTGACGGAGCCTGCCTGGTGTTTCTTGTCCACGAGGCTCTCTTCGTAGGTCCTAAGCAGTGCGGATGAGTTATTCGAATTTCTTAATTGTTTAAGGTTTAGGAAACCCTAAACCCTCAACCCTAAACCCCTACCTAAACCCCCCAAAGTAGGTAAAATAATGGCCCAATGCCTATAAAGGGCTATTATTCTACATACTTTTGGGGTCCAGGTAAACCCTTACTAACCCCGAAACCCCCAAACCCCTAACCCCTAAACCCCAAACCCCTAAACCCTAAACCCCTAAACCATACTTTTGGGGTCCAGGTAAATCCTAAACTCCAAAAGCATTGTGGAACTCCTTGGGAAGCCCTGTTGGAACCTTCTGAGCCTCTTGAGGCAACACATGAAGCCAGAGCTTCTAGGGCTCTAGGTATGGTTTAGGGGTTTAGGGTTTGGGGGTTCAGGGGTATGGGGGTTTAGAATTTATGGCTTAGGGTGAATGCTGCACCTCCAACTACTTTCAATCCCTAGCCAGGACGCTGCAGGGCAAAGAGCGCCTCCTTGGACTCCGTGGCTTTCTCGGCGATGCGCTGTGCCTGCTCCTCCACCTGATGGAGGCTTCTAAACTCGGGCTTTGGAAATACTGCTTTTCGGACATTGGGTTTCAGGGTTCGGATGTCGGTTTAGGGTTTAACTTGTGTTGTTTTGGATGTTGTGCTTAGGAATCGAAGGGCTCTAGAGATTGGAGATTTCGGGCCGGACATGACACCCCAGGCAAGGCGATAACCTTCCCAAGCGCCCAACTTGTCAGGAATGCGAGGTTTGTTGCTTATCCTCCGGAGAACGAACCGCCAGGGACCTCGTAAAACCCTTTTGTTGTAATGCATGTTGGTTCTATGATGAGTATCACCACGAGTGCTGCATGATGCACTTCTGATCTGGCCGGTTTCATAGCGTTCTGTAAGTATGATATGACATGATTTTGTACATTTATAAGCATGTCTTTGTGCAAGGAGTTCGGGTTGCGGTTGCTAGATCATGGGACTTAATAGGTCATTTATACATGTATACTTCGGACTATAGTCTGTGGTTAGGGCGATGTGCGTTCTACTCCTACATACAACCTGCTTACGAAGGCCCTTGCGCATAATTGAGGAGTCGCCGTGTTGATCGGCACAGACACGGGCACTAGGATCATCATCATCATCATCATCATCATCATCATCATTGTCATCGTTATCGTCACCGTCGTCATCATCATCATCATCATCAACATCATCATCATCATCATCATCATCATCATTGGAATCACCATCGCCATCATCATGGTGGTATTCGAAGTCGCAGTCGTGAACATGATGCCAACAAGGACGCAAGGACCTAGCCTCCGTCTCGCTTTGCTTCAGGTCGTTGATCGCCTTGTGCGACTCGGGAAGGCCAGCGCTGGCTGTGAGGTTCTGGCTGACGGCCCTTGACAGCGGCACCAGCAACAAGACACATTCACTGAAACACGGAGACAGTCATCATCAGCACTGTCATAACCGCCGCAGTTTAAGCAATCAACATTACAGGCACAACCTGAAAGTGGCAAAGCACATCGTTAGCGCAAGACTTGCAACATGACACCACCAAAGCAAAGGCATCACTGGTAGCTCTCACAAAGAACCGCGACACACAGTTCCCTCCTGCGGGTGCGAGTGATAAATCCAGTGAGAAGTATATCTAACCACGGGCATGCCGCACTCTAAGTAGGAAAGACCGTAGTAGCCCCTCCCCCAAATGCTTAAAGCTCACAGCGTTGAGGTCTCACGTCCTAAGGCCTTCATAAGACCAATAAAAAAAGTATATGACCCTGTCAAACCTTTACACAACCATGGGACTACCCTGGGACCCTGGTAAACTCCCTGTAGAACCCTCTGAACACAGCGTATGATGAAGATGTTGCCCATCGGTTGCAAAAAAAGCTTGTAACCTTCGCCAGGCAACCGAGAAAGATCTCCCATATGAACAGAGTCAGGTTTAAGCGCTTAGGGTTTCGGGTTTAGGTCGTGTCAGAATAGAAAGATGGGCAATGGGGACTATAGCGGGACACACCCCAGAAGAAGCTTGAATGAGCGCAAACTATAGAGGGCTGGAGCTAAACCCCAAAATAATGCAAACCAGACGAAAAACCCACAAATGCCCAAAATCAAAACCAGAAAAGCAAAAAAATCCCAAAAGACACGCAAACCCGACGAGTAAATCCTGCAAACCCCCAAACTAAATAGACGGATGATCGCCAAGACTCTTGGCTAAAGCACCATGCTCAGAAAGCCACCTCAGCTGAGGTGCATCTTCTGGAGTGCTTGGCATGACGCAGTGAATTTGATTCTGGGGCTTTAGAGGTCTTTTGGGGTTTAGGGCTTAGGGGCTGACATTCTGAAATGCTTTCGGGGCGTGTCTCGACCCAGGCTGTATTACAGGCTTGGATCAAAGCGAAATCGAACAAGGCCGCGCACAAGGAGCATGGAAGCCCTGCACCCCAAAGCCAAACCCCTCTAACCCTATAATCTCTAAAAGCTTTTGAACCCTGCAGCCGCTACAGTCCCAAACTCCGACTAAATTGCCTCACAAACCGAAAGCGCAAGCCCCCCCCCCAAAGCCATAGAAGCTATGAAACCAGAACATTAGGCATGTAGCTTGGGGTTGGAGCTTCAACAGAACAGGGGTTGAAACCATCATACATCGTAGGATGATAGCTGTAATTAAGGACCTACCAAGACAAGGTATTCTCCAATCTTTTGATCCAATTGCCGCCGTAAAGCCTCTTCGGTATGGACTCTTTGACCTCCTGACTGAATCCTGCCACCTCCTCGGAGGGTTCTACAACGGTTCCATCAGCTGTTCTATCAATTCTATCAGGGTGCGTACGATTCTGAAGGGAAGAGCACTGAAGAATAAAGCTCTGTGAGATATCGGACTTGTAGAACGTTGTATCAGAAGAAGGTTGGAGATCGAGTGTTGGGCTATACACCCTACTCCTAGGAGGGGTGATGTTTGGGGGTCTTAGGTTCATGGGTTTAGGTCAGTAAGGCTTCGAAGGGCTCGATGAAGATGTGGGCTTTCGGACTTTTTGGGAGGAGCCCAGGAGGGCTGAGGGGCTTCGATGGTTTTTGCTGTTTTAGGTTTAGAGGTTTAGGGATTAGGGTTTAAAGGTTAGGGGTCGGAGTTTGGAACCTTATGCATGAAGTCCTATACTTACGAGTAAGCTCCCACACGCTTTCAACCTGACACTCATGCTGCGGAGTACACCCTTGACTAGTCGACACTCCTGGACAAGACAAACTTGAGAAGTGGCAGGCATGCTTTAAACTGCGGCTTCGGTCGCAAGATGCAGTAGTTCGTGCGACGAGACTCTGATGTGTTCTACACGGACGATTGTAGGGCTCGCGACTACGAGTTTGAGGGATTCGAACAGGCCGACAACAGTGAACAGACACTCCAAACGAATATGCAACCCCATAAACCCTAAGCCCCTGGCAGCAGCTGGAGTCGAGACAGTCTCAAGGCAAGAAGTCTCTGTGCTAGGCATTGAGCCGAAAATCGCAACCTCCTACACCCATATGCGCCCTAAAGTTTAACCTCCAAAACACCGGAACTCTAAAACCCCTGAATCTAAACCCGAAACCGTGATCCACTTCAAAACCCCGATATACCTAAACCCCTAAAAGTATGTAAAATAATGGCCCAATACCCATAAAAGGCTATGATTCTACATACTTTTTGGGGTCCAGGTATAATGTGAACCCTCCATTCCCGGCCTCCGGTGTGTACACCTCCTCCAGGATCTCATCGCGGTCGGCTCCCTGACCAACAGAAGTGCACAACCACATGCGGTTGTTCATAAGGGTTCTGCCAATTTCAAAAGGTCTTTTGAGGTTTTGTATGGTTTAGTACGGTTGAATAGACAAATTAAAAATGGCATCGTAGTGTAGATTATTGCTATAATAGATATATTGGGGGACCGTAAAGGGAAGCCGTATTGTTCAGGCCTCCATATTGGCATTCCGGGAGTGCCACGCTATGCAGGCTTGGGTGTTCGCCCTTTGGAGGTCTCAGGACCCTAATCCCCGGCGGCTGCAGCACCACAGCCCAAGATAGCTAGTACCTAAAGCTCCCAAAGTAGGTCAAATAATGGCCCAATACCCATCAAAGGCTGTTATTCTACATACTTTTGGGGTGGGTCCAGGTAAAGTATGACCCTGTAGAATTTTGGGATCTAACGCAATCTAACCCACATTAAAGCAGCAGGGTATCGGATCGATCCGGGCAGAAGAGAAAGACTCGCAACTCATCTTGAAGCTTCTAAGTATGCCCTCTGTCAAAGGGGAAAAGGAGGGACCCTTAATGGGGACCCCTACCTCATAATGGGCTATATAGTGGGTATATAATAGCTATATTAAGGGTATATACCTAGGGGTCCTTGTTAAGGGTCCCTCCTTTTGCCCTTGGACTCTGGCACATCGCACGCGCACCTCGTCTCCATAAAGCTTCGCGAGCAGATGGGTCTTCGTCCGGAGAGGCTGGCCGGGCAGGCATTGGAGAATCTATACAGACAAGGACAAGGAGGCCTTACAGCTGACGCATGAAGGAACGGGGTAATGTAGGGGCCTTGATAATTAGAATAGGTTTTTTTTTTTGGGGGGGGGGGGGTCCTTATTACTATAACCTAGTTGTAATATCATATACCCCCCAAACCCTTTTCTATTTATTAAGGCCAAAACATTGAGCTTCAACAGCTTATAATGTCAGCGTCAGTTCTCTTGGTTCATAAACTCTCGCATCGCACTTTGACCTCTTGAGGGTGCTTGGGTTGTGGATGCTGGCTGCAGCACAACTCAACCAGTTGCCACAAAAGGCCATTACATTTAATTCAAGAGGCAACGGATCCGAATCCGACGCATCCGACACCGCAGAAACACCAAAATTCCCAGGCCATAAAGCCCGAAACCCCAGCAAACCACTCCAAGCCAGATGAAAACAATCTGAACCCTAATTTAAAGGCAATAAACTGTGTTAGCCCCAAAGCAACGTTCCGTTCCTGCAACTCCTCTTCTCGCTGTGCCCGAAGTGTCTCCTTTCACGAAGGCCGGATGAAGGCTCTAATTAGGGCTAAGGATTGCGTCCGAATTCTCATTTATTGGGTTGATCAGCGAACAGGGTTTTTGGGATGTTGCGGGCTGTTCGAGGTATTCTCAGGGGCGCTACTGGACGGTTTCAGAGAGGTTTGCAAGTCTGTCTATAGAATGTTTTCTTCAAGCTGGTTCCTGAGATCCTGATGAACTGCTGGTGGAGTTGAACAAGGCTTCACTTCAATCGGAGATTGCTCCGACAACATCAGAAATTTAGATCTTACTGAACGATCCGAATGTCAATAGAGTTCTGGTTTATGGATCAGCACAAGAGCAGCTGCGCTTTGTGCCCCTTAAACCCTACGCTGAAAGCCCTAATTAAAGGCCTAAGCTCCAAAACCGCTTTAAGGCCACCACGCCTCGTCGGCAGCCATGTCTGCAGCTTTGCCGTTCTCGACAATCGCATCGACCGACTGACAGGCTGGCATAGGGCGTAAGTTTGGGCTCTTTTGCAGTTTCTATCTGTTTTTAATACCTCCCTCATTGAGCTGCGTTGGTATACCGTAATATGACTTACAGAAGCCCCCAAATCCTCAATCTCAAGACTCGGCAAGGCTGTAAGCCCTGACCACCAGCACAAAACACTAAAGGGACAGTAGCTGACATGTGAGTAGGAGTTAGGGCTGCGCATTGCTACTATTGCCGTATGGGGACAATACGAAGTAGGGGGCTACTCAGAGCACATGTCGTGTGTGTCATGTTTGCATATGTATGTATGTATGCATGCATCCATCCATCCAGCCCTCCATCCCTACACATATATGTACAGAACACACACACACAATACATATACATATATATATATATATATATAAATAAGTTAGTTACATGTGTATATATATAGACATATAAATATGATTTAAATATGTATACACATACATATCCATGACAAAATTCTGTACACACTACATATATGCACAGCAGAGTCTCCAACCACTTGGTCCCAAGCGACCGTGAACCCCAAACGCAAATCCTTAGAATCTTGTACAATTGCTTCCAAAAAGGAGACCAAACCCTGACCGCCTGGCGAACTCTAGCATTCCTCGGACCACGCAAGATCTCGGGTCTTGGATTTAGGGCTGCATTCATACGGTTTGGGGTTAAGGGGTGGAGTCGGAGTTGTGTTTCGGAGGGCCGACAAGTATCAAGCACCTGTAGCCAAGCCAGGAATCCCCCAAGTATGATGACTCAGGTCATACTTGGCTTATCTGGGTACGTACACTTTAGCCCAATTGTCAGACTCTTTATGACTTTATGCATGTGTAGCAAGGCCGGATATCAGAGTCGCGGATTTGCGACATGTTTTTCGGACGCCGTTCGCACACCACGTCGAGGCTTCGGGCAGACTCAAGACGGTCGGCGTAAACGCTTGTGGAGCACGTGATTTCCAGCAATATCGGGACAATGAGGCTTGTGCTAAGGAGCGGCATACTTGTCGTCTAAATAAATACGTACTGAGAAGGGGTACCACTTGCGCAAGCACCTGTCACACAAGTTGCAGCAGAGCTACGTCGCGGCGCACTCTCCCTGGACCACGGCGTCTAAGGGAAGCTTCTGGGGTTCCCTACACCCCAAACCCTGAATCCTAAACCCTTCACCCTGATTCCTGAGCCCTAGACCCCAGACCCTAAACCCCAGTGCAAGCAGGTTAACTACAGTTTCAATGTTTGGAGTCAGTGTCCTCATGATGTAGTGTAAGCGGGCTCAACAAGTCGGTCTGGCGGGGTCAAAAGAATCCGATACACATGACAATTATAGCAATGCTCAGAACAGTAATGACAAAACCAAGACTATATAACTCAATGTTTAGGGCTTAGGGTTTACCATTAGCTAATATGATAAGGAACCCTGAGAAACGGTTGCTAGATACTCAGCTTCTACGTTACCCAAAGGGGTTCCGGGCATCCGCCCTTGAAGGGTGGTGGCTGGGCCCTACACCACGATGATTGGCAATAACCACAAACCCTACCCGCTTGACCCCCAGTGGCCTAGTTTCGACCTATAAATATCAGAACCCCTAACTCACGAAACCCCGTTCACCAAGCCGTTCACTCCCTATACAACTGCGTTCCTCAAAACAAAACGCCTTAATATACGGGCCGTCATAATTAGGATAAGGTTTTGGGGCCCATTATACTATAATTATGATAAGAAGCCTCCAAAATAGCCCTAGAGTGAACCCCACTCCTTCGAATTCCCTGCGACCAGCTCTCATGTCACGCCTGGCATGCCTCTGCGCGAACACCGCAATCGCGAATTTGCCTCTTCCAACTTCCAGCTCAAGGTTTAAGACCTATATAGTAGGGTATCCCAAAGGGGCTTAGGGTTTAGGGTTTCCAGTTTCAAGGTTTAGGACCTATACCCATAGGCTCCATAGGAGTTCCTCTCTTGGGCTCATATTTAGAATCCTATAAGGTAATCCCAAAAAGGAAGTACTATGGAGCCTATGGGCATAGTAGCATATCCAAAAGGGCTTCGGGAGAAAAGAGTTCAGAGTTCAGGGCTCACGGCTGAGGACTGAGGTTCTGAATCGGGAGTTGGGGGGGCTCTAATGTATAGGGGCCTTAATAATTATAGGGTTTATCTATAATTGTAATAAGGAGCCACCAAAATAGTATTGGTACTTATTTAGGCCCTTATATTAGGCTACAAGGGTGCAGGGTCTACAGGATGAACATGACGAAAAGCATGCAAGGGCCGTCTGGTGGGGAGATGACGCCTAGGAGTTCTTGGCATTAGCTTTGCAGCTTTTCCGAAATTGAAATTGTACACTATGAGGACCCTGCTGGAGGCTGTCCTTGTCCTTGTTACTCCCATGACACATCATGGGGATACTCACAACATACCTACCAAGTCCCCCGGCCTGCACGTATTTTTAAACAGACCGAAACCCTGCTGCCAAGCTGCTCTGCACACGCAGGCACAGGTCCCGGCGCACACCCTTCGCCCATGTCCACTTCGCCTGGACGATCATGATATGGTTTGTAAGTAGAAACGGTCGGAACTGGAACAGTGCAGTGCAATTAGCATTGTTCAATGTTCGACGTAGACACTGTGGAAATCTGACTGAACATCTATAGTGTATGGACGGGAGGGCTAATGTAAGCGGCTGCAGGTTGTCACCCTCGTCATGTTGCATGGCGCAAACTGGAGGTTCCAAACGCCATGCATGTCATATTGAAGCCGTCAGGGAAAGAACGGAAAGCAGAGGTGGTCAGGCAAGCTGGTGGGACTTTCAACTCGACACGGGCCCTCAACGAAATCGACAAACCTCTGACATGGACTGCAGGAATGCCCCTCGACATCATGCAGGAAGTATAGTCTGGTAGAGTAAGCTAGACAACAGTAGAGATTTATATATATATATAATGAAGAAAACTGCCCGCAGAGTCTTGTACCCGAAGAAGGCCCGAGACTTTTTTTGCAGCTTCCCACCGCTCTCAGCCAGGCACGAGCAGGGAGCTTCTCCAGGAGGGCAGTCAGAGCTTCTACACCTCGGGCTTTGTCAAATCAATTTCGGACTTGGGATGTAACATAGGGGCCGAAAGATACCATTTTGGGGGTTCCTTAGTTTAATATATTTGTAGTATCATGGGCCCCAAAACCCGATTCAAATGATAAGGCCCCTATATGAGTTTCGAGCCTTGCGTGGACCAAGCAATGCTTGGAAGTCCAAAACACATCTCTAGAGGACTACTGATCACTCCTGGAAGGAAGTGGAAAATCCGGACGTGGAACCTCAAACTGCAAGCGAGCAACAAGCAAGTCAACTCTAAACTCAGACTATAATGACACTATACCCCCCTTAGAACCATAATAAAAATCCGATTTAAAAAGTCTCTTGGGTGTTATATGAACAAAAATACAAACACAATTCCTATGGCGACTATAATGACCAAAACCTATGAACCCATGACCTATAACTTCAACCCCGAACCCGAAGGGCTGAGCGTCACTCACTGCGGAGCCTTCGAGAACCCACTCCAAACCCTCTGCCAAGTCCGAAACTCCCCTAGCCAACACAGCGACTCTAACCGAAGCACAGAAAACACAAATCCATAACCCTGTACCAACTGAAGGCCTGAAGAAGCCAAGCTGATTACCCTAAACTTATGCCGACCGTCTACTCCAAACTGGGTCAACTAAGCTACTGCCATCTGGAAACAAAGGCGCCGCACATCCGGAAAAACAGAAAAGCGCTGAACCTTAACCCCTGCAACCCTGAACCCTTATCAGCCCTAATGTCTATAGTCTAAGTTAACTTATAGGCCCTTCACATCCCTTCATCTTAAACCCTGCACCGTCCCCTTAAACCTTGTAAGCCGTTGATGCCCAACCGGGATGCCCAAACCTAAATAAAAGCCCTACCCACAGGCTCCATAGCAGTTCCTTTTTTGGGGTTCATATTTAGAACCCTATAAGGTATACGATGTAGCCTTTAGGTAGGTCCTAAACCTTCCCTAAGCCCTAAATCCTATAACACGTTAGTATACCTTATAAAGCCCTGTGCACCTTCAACCCCAAGACGGCCCTCAGCGCCGAGCTGCGCGTCTCCGTGGAGGCTTCCACCGCGCTCTGGAACCCGAAGTTCTCTGCGGCGGCCGCCTCCATCCTCAGGATTTTGGGGTGTTGGGCGGTTAGCTTTTTTTTTGTTCATCTTTGTTATGTCTGCCCCGTCTGAGGAGCTGGAGATCTAGGGTTTAGGATTTTTGTTTGTTGAACCCTCGTGTCTTTTGGCCGATCGCCGCAGGACTACCAATGTGGTTGAGGGGCCGGGCCACCTTTACAGAACAGGAAAGCAGGACTATCTCAATCTGAACCAGTGATGTTGGTTTAGGGGTTTAGGGCTTTAGAGGTTTCGGGTTCAGGGCTTTAGGGGTTTAGGGTGTAATTAGAGCTTTAGGGCTTGGGGGGTTCACGGGTGTAGGGTTGAGGGTTGCTGGATAAAAGGGGGCTCCAGAAATTGAGAGTTATGAGTCGGAAATAATGTAGTAAGACTTCTGGGGCAAAGTCATATATGGCTTCTGGGTTCAAGGCTTCCGTGGGAAGAGCAGACCGAAAAGTACCGGCCCCGGAAACTTCCAAAACAAGCAGTCCAGCAATAGCCCACCGTCCACCCCAGAAGACCTCAACGCGAAACTCCTGCATCAACAACTTCCCCAACCCCAAAAGCTCCCAACAACACCCACCACCACCAAACCCGTAACAAGCCTTTGTAAACAGCTAAACCGATTCGAGGAAGCCATCGGATCTCCCTATCTTGCTGAGCAGCTCCGCTTTGATCCGGTTCAGCAACTCGGCCATAGCGTCGAGACGTCTTGGAGCCTGTAGGGAGCGGAAACTCAGAGAGAGGCAGGGGAAGCGAAAATGCTGGGAGCCAACCAGCAGGCCGCGCGTTGCACGTGCAAAGAAAGACTTCGTGTCAGTCGGTCTGGAAGCGGTCCCCGAATACCGAGAGATTCAAAAGAATAGCATTACGACTTCAACGGAAATAGTCGCTAGTACTACGAAATTCTGGGACAAGTGCAGGTCTAGGGTTCTTGGAGTTTCAAGAGGATGAGTTTCAATTTGGGGCTTGGTGCCTTACGCCTTCTGGTTGTCGTCAAGTGCCACAGCTGGGAAGCGGAATATGAAGCACTATAGTCGCTGATCTCCGTAACGGTTTGCGCATGTAGACCCGGAGGGCCTTCCTTCTCGTATTCTGTCGCCGTAGACCTGAACCCAAACTTTTGCAAGAAAGTCCGCACAAGTACCAAACCCGCATCCCTACACCTCAAGCCACAACTCCCCAAACCTACAAGACTCACATAGCCCGATCGCTACACTCCGAAACCAAAGCCCAAGCCCCAACAAACCCTGTACTTGTTGATCCACGATCCAACACGAACCTTTCCCGAAGTTCTTTTCCCCGCGTGGCGTCCCAAGCCGCTTCTGTCGTGCCCCAGGGCTGCGAAATCGAGTCCTCTGAGCGGTTCCCTGTTGTCTTTCGGATGGTCATGCAGGGGAAAACCCTAAACCCTAAACCCTTTGTCCTAAACCCTAAACCCTAAATCCTAAACTCTAAACCCTAGGGCTTCGGGGTGTATTGCCACATCCGGCCCATGATTGAAACTTGCCTGAATAGGCTACATGTCGGATCTACGAGCTTCTCAGGCTCAGCCATAGGCTCCATAGTAGTTCCTTTTGGGGGTTCATACGGGTAGTGGCCAAAATTATTGCCCCTTTTTGGGCACCTTAGATATTCGGTGCCGTATCAAAAAGGGGCCCTAATTTTAACAGCCACCCATATTTAGAATCTTATAAGGCCATCCCAAAAAAGGAACTACTATGGAGCGTATGGGTAGCTTATCGATTCCGGGGTGGAAGGTTTGGTGTCGCTGAGGCCTGGGTCTTCAAAGTGAGCCTGCTTTTGAGGCTATCGGGCTCAAGAATCGGCCAGTGCTCATGGGATGTCTCGCTCATCAGAGGCAAAGCTTAAGACCCCTGGGTTGAGACCCAATACTGGCAGTGTTTGGTTCCCCCCCCAATCCAGCATCTCAGGGCGGCAGGAGTTTAGGGGCATTTAAGGGCCTCTCTCGTTTCTTACGGCATTCGATGAGACACCCAGCCTAACTCTGGCCCCAAACCTTAAGACCTTCACTTGAAGCACAGCTTTCGGAGCAGGACCGACCTCCATACCGATGCCAGGGACCCCGGTTTGCATCGGCCTGTGCAGTCAGGGATTCGGCCGACATGTCGCTACTAATAGTGGCTGTTGAGGCTGCGGGTTCTTGTGGAAAAACATGGTGCTCCGAAGCTGACATCTCCGGCTAGCTGCGTGCCAGTAGCGCTGAAGCGTGACTGGTAAGTGAATGGATGCATGATCAAATTTTCGACGCGGCACTGCTTCAGAGATGTTACATCTCAATGGTTGCCAGCACATGCCCGCATCTTCTATGCAGGGCATCAAAACTGTTTACCAAGCCTCTGAACGATTCAATTTGGAGTGGCTCTTCTGCCGGCACCGCGTGCCCCACTTAACATTGCCCTTTGTTTGGTGTGAAGTACACATTAAGCTTTGGGTACTAGCATGAGTATAGTACTAAAGTTATCCGGAGATCTGCAAAGCGGGAGGGTAGATGTTAGGCTGGGGCCGCGTGCGCAGCACGAGCCCCTCTGGCGACAAGCCAACGGAGGACGGCAACCGGCATGTGCAGCCGTGCACTGACCTCCTTGACCGTCTGTCACCAGAGCCTGTGAATTCTGATGCACTGATGGGCTTTGGCTCGGTTGGCTAATTGGCATTGTGCACCAGTATCGATACACTTATAATGAGTTTAAAGATATACAGGTTGAGGCAACTACTTGCCGTACTCGCCGGGGGCCGTGCTTGGGATTGAGGCTCCGCCATCCATGCTCTCGCCGGATGACCCACCATCTCCCTTCGTGTGGCTCGGAGGTCTGCCTCGGCGGTTTTTCTTCTTCGGGAAGGGCAAGCTGACGATGCAGGCGGGGCGGGAGAAGACCGCCACGGGGAGGTGCGGGTCGAGGCGGATTTTCACCACGCTGCACTCCATGGGAAGTGTCTTTGCATCGGTGAGTTCAGCCGGCTCCCCGGAGTCGAGCATCACCAAGTCACCGGTTTTCAAGGCTCCAGCTGGACGATAAAGATTCTCATCCCACTCGCCCGTGGCATCGGGGACCTGCACCCGGTGGTCAGGCGTCACATCCAGCGACGCATCTCCTGCTTGCAAGTGGACGATCTCCGTCGCATCGCAGATCTTTGGCGGACTGGTCACCGTCAGAATGGTTTTGCCATTTCCGGCCACGACCTGCGATCCCATTTTGAGGTCTCTGCCCATAATGAAGTAGTCCGTGTCGTAGAGGCGCGTCCTGAAGATGGCGTCCAGCACGAAGCAGTGCGGCTCCGAGGAGGAGGACCCGTCATCACTCGCAGTCACTGAAAGGCAGCCAGCAAAGGGGTCCCACTGCAGATGCGCTTTCGTCAAAGTCGTGAGTTTGTCCTCTAGCCCACGAAGTCTCTCCTGGTACATGCCCTTCTCCTCTAACAGACGACTCGTCTGACCCTCTGTTTTAGCCAGCTGCTGCTGGAGCTGCTCACACCGCTCCTGCAGTACCGCATTTTCCTTCTCAAGCTGCCATTCGACTTTGCTCCGGGCCCCCTGCATGAGATCCAGCTTCGCCTCGGCTTTGACAAGCTGCTGCCGGAGCTGCTCACAGCGCCCCTCGAGCACTGCCTTCTGCAGCTGCATTTCCGCCTTGCTCCCGGCCTCTTCTGCCCAAGCGGGGTGGGCCTCTGCCTGCGGACAGTGCTCCCGGTCCTGGTAGCTTCGCTTATCCTCTTGCAGTCGCCTCAGAATCTCCTTAGCTTCTGCCTCCATGCACTTCGCAAGCTCTTCGTAGTGCTCCTGGCACTTGCTGTGCTCCTCCTGCAACTGCCCGAGCTCCATCTGCATCTCTGTCACTGCCGCCTCCCCAGCTGCGGCGCGCGTTGCAAAACTCTCGCACTGCTCTTTGAGACCTGCACTCTCGCTCTGCGCAGTTCGGAGCTCCGCATCCTTGCTGGACACCTGCGCCTCCGCCGCGGCCAGGCGATTGCGAAGATCTCGACACTCCTCCTGCGATGTTTGGAGCTCCGCTTCGAGGCGACGGCGCTCGGAAGTCTCCTGCTCAAGCTTCTGCCGCTTCCTCGCCGTCTCCGAGCTCTCCTCCGCCGTCACGAGCTGCTCCGCGAGCTCCCGGCAGCGATCGCGGATGTGGGGATGCTGCAGGTACCAAGCCGTCAAACGCTCCCGCTGTGCTGCTGGGCGGAGCTCACCTCGAAGGAGCCCCGCCTCGGAGAAGCGCCAGTGGTTGGACCCGTACTTGTCGTGCTCGGCCGCCCCGTGCCGAAGCAGCGCCTCGCCGAGGAGCTGCTGCCCTGCCTCCTTGCCGTCGAGCTCCGTCGCGAAGCGCTCCCGGCAGCGCTCGAGCCAGGCCTCGGCCTCCTCGGGCTGCGAGGCCCAGAGCTCCACGAGCCGCAGGCTCACCACCTCGCGAGCTCGCGCCGCATGATAACTTGCTGCACCATAAACAGCCAACTCGACGAAAGCGTCGATGACGGTCGCCAGGTCCCAGCCGGCAGGGGCTTCGGTGAGGTGATGGAGAGGTATTGCTTCGGACCGCTGGAGCATGGCGGCGACTCGAAAGGCAGACTGCTGCTGTGCGCAAAGCGTGTGGATAGACGGCTTCAGGTTCGCGACCCTGCACAGCACGTCAACCGTTGGGGACAAACATCCCGCAATAAGCAAGCACGTCGAAACCAAGCTACATCAAGAAGCTCACCACAAACTCAGATCATGCCGCATGCCACGCTCCAACTTCGTTACATTCCGAAACATTGCGGGCTGAGTTAGCTGGCCTCTCTGCGCTCCCATGGTGAGCTGCTGCTACCTGGGGCGCAGAGGTTGGGCCAGCAGTCTGGGAAGGCTGTGGGGTTGAGGAGCGCTTTTTGTGACTTTGTATATGCTCGCCAAGCACAGAGACTCCCGATGAAAGGTTACCTCGGTGCCTCGGAACAGAGCGATGGGCCTCTGATCTTCATGGAGTGTTCTGCATGTAACATGTAGCATGAAATGCGCGATGTTTGGATCCAGGAAAGAATAGTGGCCAGTCTCAAGATGCTTGTGTATGTTCATAGCACACGAACCGCAAGAAAATGAGTCGCGCACCCAAGAGTCCTGTACTCCTCTAACTAACGCTAGTGCTGCAAAGCTTCTCATGAAACACTTCTGGCTATGGGCAGATTAATCCTATGTTCTCCCATCATGGAGTGAATGGTGTATACCCGTGCGGAGGTTGAAGGTGTAAGAATTCGAAAGTCGAAAGCTCGACCCTGAACCCGGTAACCCCTAAACCCCCCAAATCCTACCCTACCTGGACCCCCAAAGTAGGTAAAACAATAGCCTTATGGATCTTGGGCCATTATTTTGCCTACTTTGGGAGGTTTAGGTAACCCCCGACCCCTAAAACCCTACAACCCTGAGCCCCTAGACACCTACCCCATAAAGCCCTAGAAAGGCCCATCAACCCCTCCAAGCCCCTATTCAACCCCCACGAAGCCAAGATATCCAGAAGCTCAGCTCCGAAGCTCGGGCCACGGCCAAACTCATCTTCGGCCTCTGGGCTGTGGCAGAGTACGGCTTAGGGCTTACCTAGACCCCCCAAAAGTAGGTAGAATAATGGCCCAAATCCTATAAAAAGGCTATTATTCTACACACTTTTGGGGTCGAGGTGGGGTTGAGGATTGAGGGCTTAGGGTTCAGGGTTCAGGGTTGAAGCATATAGGGTTGAGGGTTTAGGGTTGAGGTATTAAGTTCATTGTAGAGTTTATAGAGTTTATAGAGTTCAGGGTTTGGGGGTGCTTCAGAACCTTTCTGGAGATCGACGTACATCTCACGCGACTCACCGACGGAGTGGATCCTGGATGTACGAAAAAGCTGGAGAGCTTCGTCTATACATACTTCATACTTCGTTCTCCGCCGAGATCTATCTCGTTGTGATCTCAAACCCCAGAGATGGGGCCCCAGTTTAAAACGATTCACGCATCGGAACAACAGAGCTGGTTACTAATTACACTGAGCATCGCATCCGCAATGATGCATTTCGGCTGTTGCAACTACCTTCGAGTCTGCGAACGAAGTAAGCACGACCATCTCAAGTGGCGACCCTAGAAGCTCAAGTGACGACACACTTAAAGACATCATAAATTTGGCGAGGCCCTGGCCGAACCCTCCAACGCAGCTGTTCTTTATTTCTTAAACTATAATATACTGGCTACGATCCTCGAATAAGAGCACCGAGGTATGGAGGAAAAACAACTCAGAGCCCTGCAACCCTCCAACACCCCAAATCACAATGTCTGCAGACTCTACTGAGCATCATGACTTTCGGCCCCTCTGAAATCCAGGCCAGAACTCTTCGTTATCGCTCGGTCCCCCCATGCTGGGTCCCGCACCTGGTGCACATCTTTCTCGACGCTTGCCATGGCGTGAGTTCTCTATCAGCTATATATTGAGCTAGGGTTGAATTCGTTTATGACGCATTAGCGAAGTTTCGGGTGTATAGGGTCTATATTGATCCTTATAGTTTTTAGGCACCGGACGAATCCTGCAGCAAGACTTTGCAGTTGTCGAAATGTGGGTTCGGAGACTTCCGGGACTGATCTGAGTTTAGGGGCTTATTATTGTGTTTTGGGTTTAGGGGTTTGGGATTTCAGGGTTCTGGTATGGTTGTGATTCTGACTCTTTTGAGCCACGTGAGCACACGGTGGGGCAGCGAGAGGCATCTAAGTTCATGTAGTTCATGCTCCCTGCTTTGGGGATGTGGGCGGTGACCCTTACAGTCAGCTTGATACGGAAATTGACGGATCGCAGGTGATCAAAGCTTGGTTTATTACGTCATGGGACCTCCGTGAGTACAGAATCCCGAGCACGAGCCACGGAATTGTGGACTGCTCCAAGCGAAGAATCCAATGCAGTCATTGGTTACGGGTTCTTGGAAGCTCCAGGCAGGGTACAGGGGATTCTTGCCGACGTGGCAGAGCCAGCATAGTTAAAAGAAGCCATGAGTGGAATACACGGCCGAATGCACTGCAAAAGTAGTGGAAGCCCACGGCCACGACCCAACATCTCACACTCATGTTCAGTTAAAACCACGTGGAACGAGAAGCCCAAAGACGCTCCAGAGGGCTTGGAGTGCCTTCGACGATACATAGAAGAATCCTTGCCTTGGTGACTTTCCTGTTTCTCTCCATGGATCGATCGATCGATCTCCTGCCGAACTGTTTCATTCAAACATCGACATCAAGTCCTTCGGTGGTAATTAATAAGTTTAAGCCTAAACAATGGTCCTTCCCCGGAGAGCCTTCTCCTCCATTTTTTCTGCACGTTGCCACAAAGGTGCGACCCGCACAGCTGCGCAACCGAGGCCTGCGGAGTTTTCCGATGTTCGGGAAACAGACACAGCGTGTCGGAATTGTTTGTTTATGTTATAATAGCAGTCTAGGCCCAGGCACCGCCAAAGCATAAGCAGCCCACCCAGCCCTAAATTCATGCAGACTCCTGTACAACCCTGCACTCTGTTCCGAAAGCCGGGAAACCTTCGGAACCCTTGTATGCCCGCGGATAAACTCCTGTATGTTATTATGCGGTTCAACCTGAAGTTGTACCGTGTGATGTTCTTCAACAAAAACCCTCCAAGAATTGCCAAGCACCCTGCTAAACATCTGTGGTTCTGGGATAGGGTTTCAACAACTCAATAATTGGTCAAGTTTTGAGGTCTGGGGCTTCCGGTTCAAGGATGCCCCATGAGAGGCAGATCACACCAGAAACGAGAAGCCCTCCATCAGTACGGTCTAGAGTCTATAGGGTTTATAGGGATCATGCTTCGGTCGATGTTAGACGACCTGAAAGCTTACATTAAGGGGCATTAACGGCTGAGTTCACTTCTACCCATGGTCTTCAGGAGAAGGATGTCGGACTGTACGATGCTTGAACCCAGCGTGTAGCTCTTCATTGTCATTTTTGAGTGCCTGAGAAAACCCCAACACTCAAGCCTTCTTCTGGCCGACCTCCACGCCGATACCAAGGAGCGCTGTCGCTTGCACCTCCGCGGGCAGGGATGTGGCTGACATGTGGTTGCGGTTGCCGTATTTCGCGTAGGTAGCAGTGTATCTGTAATACTAAAACACGTTGAGGTGCTAGAGTTAAGTTGAGGGGGTGAGTTCTTCTGCTACTTACAGTGAGGTGAAGCTCCAGCCCGGTTAGAAGCTTGCATCCCCAATAGCATTCCGGCCCGATGTGATGCGAAGAGGCAGCGAGCACAGCTGCGACAGCTGCAACAAGCCGACTCGTAATTTTTGGAGGCGAAGACAAGCCGACTCGTAATTTGTGGAAGGCGCTTCAGCGATCCTGAGATCTGAACAGTCGCCAGCACTCCCCTGCGCTCTTCTGTACAGGGAAGCGGTTGGATCCAAAACTTCGGGCGAAGCCTTTACAAGATTGAATTTCGATTGGCTCTTGCGCTGGCACTGTGTGCCCCGCGAAACATTTCCCCCATGTAAAGCCATGATCAGATCCGGAACTATAGCCTTGTTGAGAGATCTTTCAATAAAGTGGGGTTTGGTGTAAGGCTAGGGCCGCGTGCGCTGCTCTCGAGCGACCTCTGGCGACCAGCCGAGCGGAGGAAGGCACAAGCCATTGCAGCCGTGCACTGCGCCCCGTTGGCCGCGTGTCGCCGGAGCCTATGAATTTAGATGCAGTTATAAATGCGGAATCTTGCGACAGCATCGATTGCTCACAGAATCATCGCGACCACTTCGTCGGAAAGCCAGCCCCTAGTCCATGTAGTCTCCGGCGGTGACCGGGATGGAGGCTCCGGCTCCGCCATCCAGGCTCCCATCCGGGCGCCCTTGCGCTTGCGATGCCTGTCCTTGCCCTTGGCCTCTTCCGCCTCGGCGAATGGGCGGCTTCGGCTTGTGGCCCAAGCTGAGGATGCAGGCCGGGCGGGAGAAGACCGCCACAGGGAGGTGCGGCTCGAAGATGATCTTCAGCACCTGGCACTTCAGTGGCCGAACGGCGACGCTGGTGAGGGTCACGGGCTCCCCGGAGTCGAGCATCACGAAGTCCCCGGCTTTCAACTTTCCTGCGGGCAAGTAGCGACGCTTCTCCGCCTCGCCCTTGGCATCGGCGACCTGCACCCAGTGATCCGGGGTCACATGCAAGGTCGCAGCGCCCGCCTGCAACTCGACGACCTCCGTTGCATCGCAGATGTCCGGCGTACTGGTCACCGTCAGGATGGCGGCATCATCTCCGGCCACGACCTGTGATCCCTTCTTGAGGTCTCTGCCCATCAAGAAGAAGTCCGTACCGTAGCTGCGGGTCTTGAAGATGGCATCCACCATAAAGCAGTGCGGTTTCACGGACTCCGGCTTCACCGAGAACCAAGAGGAGCAGCTCAGCACCGAAGAGGATGTGGCGTCGTCCTCCACGACGCTGTAGCCCAGCTGCTCGGCAAGGCTTGACTCCTGGCCGTCGGTGGCTGCATCGTTGAACGCTGTCCCTCCTGCAAAATGCATGTGGAGGGCGTCCTGCTTCTTCCTCCGAGCTGTGAGCTCGTGCTCCAGTCCACGCAG